ATAGTGGCTAGCCGGCGGGTGATCCGATGAAAGCTCCGCATAAAGCGTAGAGTAAGTCGGATCGGACTTGTAACCTTTGACGAAATGTGGCTGCAGATCGTCATCGAGGTCGAATGCCGTGGTCACAATGGCACAAAAGTCGGGCCGTCGTGAGAGGGCGTCCGCAGCTCGATTGGCGGGACCGGGAATGTGGCACGGGTCAAAGTCGAACCGGTCGATGTAATACATCCATCGACCGATCGTGCTAGTGACCGTATCCTGCGTTTTGTAAGAGATCAACGGATTGTTGTCCGTATTCCATTTAAAACGCCGACGGCCGAGAAGAAAGTGGCGCCACCGTTTGAGAACGGTGACGAACGCGAGTAGCTCTTTCTTCCTAGCGTCGTCGAGAGTGTTTACGAGAGGCACCTTTTGGGAGAAATACTCGACCGGATGCCAACCGTCCTCGTAACACTGTTCCAACACCGCACCAATACCGTATCCCGAAGCGTCCGTAGTCACTTGGGTGGGAAGGGTGGGGTCATATATACGGAGGGCAGGTGCGGCTTGCATTGCTGCCTTCAACGTAGTGAACGCGGCATGGGCTGCGTCATCGAACTCGAAGGGCACCTTCGGGGACTGAAGTCTCGACAAAGGAGCAGCCACTTTCGAGTATGACTCGACGAATCGCTGATAATATCCAGCCAAACCCATGAAAGAGCGTACATCCGTYGTGCAACGGGGTTCCGGCCAATCCACGATGGCTTGGATCTTGTCCGCTAAGGGACGAATGCCTTTCGGCGTGACAAAATGGCCCAAGTACTCAAGCTCTTGCCTGGCGAATTCCCACTTGTCGAGATTCGCTTTGTACTTGGCTAGTCGCAAACGATCCAGAACAACGCCAAGGTGTACGATGTGCTCGTCCAACGTCCTACTGTAAACCAAGATATCATCAAGGTAGATGAGGACGYTGCGATCGAGCAAGTCGCGAAACTCAGTCGTCATTGCTGCTTGGAAAGTCGCGGGGGCATTGGTGAGGCCAAAGGGCATGACCACCCACTCAAAATGCCCGTACCGCGTCTTGAACGTGGTCTTGTACCGATCTTGAGGCTGGATTTCAATCTGGTGGTAACCTGACTTCAAGTCCAACTTCGAGAAGTGCGTCGCGCCGCCTAACCGCTCAAGAAGATCATCAATCCGAGGGAGAGGGCCGACGTTCTTTACGGTTTGTACGTTAAGTTTACGATAATCGGTGCATAACCGTAGATCTTTGTTCTTCTTCCGGACGAAGAGAACAGGGGCACCGTAGGGCGAACAACTAGGGTGAATACAGCCCTTGTCGAGAAGGTCATCGAGTTGTGCGCGAAGCACCTCGAGTTCCTCTTCGCTCATGCGGTAGATACATCCACGCGGAGGGACAGCGCCAGCCTCGAGAGTGATCCCGTGACGTATGGGCCGATCCGGGACCGTTCCGGTGGGAGCCTCGAAGACATCTCTATACTTGTCCAAGAGGTGAGAAATGCGTGGGTCCGGCGGTGACGCGGCTGGTCCGTCCGGCGAGGGGAGAGCATGCAAGAATACAAGGCCCATCTCCTCGACGTCATTCCGAGCTATGGCGTCG